CATGGGCTCGTCGGCTGGGGCCGGTTCCGTGCCTGCAGCCCCCCGAGATCTCCGGGCCCGGCCTGGAGCCCCCTGGCTCGAGGCCTCTGGCTCCGTGGGGGGGTCCTGAGTCCGCACCGCCCTCCTGGGCCTCTTCACAGGGCCGGGCTGCTCCGCCTCCTCGACACTCCCCGGCTCCGGCGCCTCCATGTACACGGCTGGGCTGCAGAGCTGGCGCCGGCCCCTACGCTGGGGGGCGGCCGGGGTGGGCTGGCTGGGCTCTCTGGACCCCACGGCCTTCTCCGCCCCACCCCGCTGGCTCCGCCTCTCCAGGGCAGGGGCTGGCGGTGGGGGAGCAGGAACCGAAGCAGATCGCAGGCTTCGGCGCCTCACAGAGGTGGAGGGACTGGGATGAGCCTCTGGGACCTGGGGGGGGCGGGGTGGGGGGAGAGAGAGAAAGAGATTGTGGGGCTGGGATCCAGGATTCCTGGGTTCTGTCCCCGGCTCTGAAGAGTGGGCGCCAGCCCCTGCTCACCTTCCCAGCATCCTCAGGCCGTGCCCCTGCGGGGTGGGGCCCAGCCCCCGTGACCTCGACAGCCACTGGGGTCGCCCGTCTCTCCGCAGCCTCCGGGCCACCTGGAGAAGAGGATGAATTAATTCCATTCAGCTACTGCAATTCCCTTCATTGCCACTAGATGTCGCTGCCCGCCAAGACACATCATGTGACTGCCAGCAACACCCCCCCTCCTTGCAAAAGGTGTCACTTGCACACACACACAGTGTCACCCACACACACAGTGTCTCACACACACACAGTGTCTCACACAGAGCACCACTACTCCAGGTGTGTCTCGCACACATCCACACACAGAGAGCACGGTCGCACTGGACATGTCGCACACACACAGCACCGGGCATGTCGCCCCAGGCGTGTCACACACACATTCACACACAGAGAGCACGGTCGCACTGGACATGTCGCACACACACAGCACGGGGCATGTCGCCCCAGGCGTGTCACACACTCACCCTGCCCTCTCAGGCGCTGCCCAGAGCTGCTGCCCCCGGGCTCCGCTCCTGCCCGCCCGCCCTCGCCCTGCAGCGCCAGGGCTGGCCTGCGGGGAGCGCTCAGCACTAGGCGCACGGGCTGGGATTCCTCCTCCTCCGGCGGCTCCCTCCCGGCGCCCCCTGCTGGCAGTGCCCCGCCAGGGGGCTCTGACTCCTCCTTGGGGCTGAGGGGAGCAACTGCGGGGTCCTGGGTGCCAAGCAGCAGCCCCTCAGAGGCCGGGGCGGGTACGGGCGGGCTGAGACAGGGCTCCCCCTGGTGGCGGGGGGCGGGGCAGCAGCTGGGTGTCCTCCTCGGGGATGAAGGGCTGGGTGGGCTGGTCCGAGTGGAGCCCGGGGTCCTCGCAGAACGACTGAGTCGCCTCCACAACGTACAGATCCTCGTCCGAGTCCTCCTCCTTCTCTGAAGAGGTGCAGACTGAGGGCGGGGAGGAGAGAGGGGAAGAAGATGAGGATAGAACCCAGGAGTCCTGGCTCCCAGCCCCCCCGCTCTAACCACTAGACCACACTCCCCTCCCAGAGCCGGGGAGAGAACCCAGGAGTCCTGGCTCCCAGCCCCCTGCTCTAATCACTCCAGTCAGCACTGGGTGGCTCGGCCCAGTTTGGCACGGAGGTGGGGAGACCAGTCAGGGCGGCAGCTCTCGCGCTTCCCGGAATCCTTAGCAACCCCTCCTCCACCACCCCACCGTGAAATCCAAGATGGCGGCTCTAGACAGGTCTCCTCTCTGCCCCCCCCCAAGCCCCCGTTCCCTGAGCGCCGCAACCCCAGCGAGGGGCCCGTTGTGCTCACCTGGAGGGTGCAGGGCTGGGCCAGCAGGGGGCGACATCACGGACCCTGCGAAGGGATCAGAGTGACAGCAGGAATTGGTGGGGGAAGGGTGACTGCCTGAGGCCCCGCCCCCAAGGGTCACTGACTCCACCCCGTCTGAGGCCCCACCCCCGGGGGGGGTCACTAACTCTGCCCCTCTGGTGACCAATACATACATTGGTGAGTTCTCAGCCCAGTAGGGCCACCAGAGGGAGCCACCCCCGGGAGGAGACACCGAGGGGGGCTGTGATCATGGGGGCTGGATTTCCCCCCAACTCACCTTTTGCAGGCAGGGGCGATCTGAAGACAAACGTCTGGGTGGCTTCCTCCTCTAGGCCGCTCCCCGAATCTGTGGAAAGAGGAATTACCCAGGATCCTTCACAGCTTCCCCGCCACCGATCTCTTCGCTCACGGCCACACAACCCCACAGATCGCCTGCCCAGAGGGAGGGACTAACTCTAGGTCATGGAGGGAAACTGAGGCACAGAAAGGGGAAGGGACATGCCAGAGATCACACAACAAGATGGAGCTAGATACAGAACCCAGGAGTCCTGGCTCCCCCCTCCAGATCTAACCGTTAGACCCCACTCCCCTCCCAGAGCCAGAGATGGAACCCAGGAGTCCCACCTGCTGCCGCGGGGGTTCTGGCGGCCTCGGCCCCCGAGGACGGGGTCTCCTCAACCAGGTAGCACTGCGTGGCCTGCAGGGCAAAATCAGCGTCATCTGGGAAGGGGAAGGAGAGCGGAGACTCCAGGTGAAACCGACGCACCTGATCCCATCCCAGCATGCAGGGCAGGGCGCTCACCCATAGGAAGCCGGACACCGGGGCAGGGAACGGGACCCAGGCGTCCGGGATGGCAGTGCAGGGTGCTCACCCCTAGGAAGCCGGACACCGGGGCAGGGAACGGGACCCAGGCGTCCGGGATGGCAGTGCAGGGTGCTCACCCCTAGGAAGCCGGACACCGGGGCAGGGAACGGGACCCAGGCATCCGGGACAACAGCGCAGGGCCTGTCTCCCCCAGATTTACCCTCCACATCCGTCTCGCTGTCGTCTCCAGGCTGGGCTGGTCCCCACGCTGGCTCCTTGTTCCCCTCAGTGTCCATCAACTTGGTCTCTGGGCTGACATGGGACTGGGGAGCAGGTGGCTCCTCCCCACCCGCCTGGGCTGGGCCCCCCACAGGACCTGGCTCCTGCTCGAACTCTACCCCGGGAGCCCCCTCGACATCTGTGTCGCTGTCTCCACTGGCTGTAGGCAAGTGGAGCGTCTGTTGGCCAACATCTGGATTCTCCTCCACATCTGTATCGCTGTCCCCAGTGGCAACAGGCAAAGGGTCGCTTTGTCGTCCAACATCTGATTTCTCCTCAGCCTCCTCCACATCTGTATCGTCACCTGCCTCCACGGTGGGCTGATGGCTCCTCTGTACAACATCTGGATTCCCCACAGAGTCCTCCACATCTGTATCGCTGTCCTCATTTTCTGCAGGCCGATGGCCCGTAGGATGCACATCTGGTTTCCCCATTGTCCCCATCACATCTGTATCTCTGTCTCCAGGGAGAGCATGTTGATGCTTCGTTACAACATCTGGATTCTTTGCCTCCTCTTCCTCCACATCTGTATCACTGCCCACATCAACAGCAAGGGGATGGCTCTTTGCAGTGACAACATCTGGATTTTTATCAGATTCCTCCACATCTGTATCACTGTCCCCAGGGGCAGCAAGCTCATTGTTCGTTTGTCGCACATCTGGTTTTCCCACCACCCGTACCACATCTGCATCTCCGCCCCCTGGGGAAACAAGTTGATGGTTGCTCTGTACAACCACTGGAGTCTCTGTTTTCTCCTCCTCCACATCTGTATCACTGCCCACCTCAATGGCGGGCTGATGGCTCTTCTGTACAACATCTGGATTCTCTGCAACCTCCTCCACATCTGTATCGCTCTCCCCATTTTTGGCAGAGTGATGGCTCTTAGGATGCACATCTGGATCTCCATTCTCCACATCTGTCTCTCTGCCCCTAGGGACAGTATGTCGATGGTTCTTCTGCACATCTAGATTATTTGCTGCCTCCTCCTCCACATCTGTATCACTGTCCACCTCAACGCTGGGCTGATGGCTCTTTGGACCCACATCTGGATTCACACCAACCCCCTCCACATCTGTATCGCTGTCCCCAGGGGCAGCAGACTGGCTCTTCATTCCTTGCAGTACATCTGGATTCTCCAGTGGTGCCTCCACATCTGTATCGCTGTCCCCATTTCCAGCAAGCTGATGGTCCTTTGGATGCACATCTGGATTCTGTGCTGCTTCCTCCTCCACATCTGTATCACTGCCCATCTCAATGGCAGGTGGGTGGCACTTTGGATCCACAACATCTAGATTCTCCATAGCCTCCTCCTCATCTGTATCGCTGTCCCCCAAGAGAGCAAGTCCATGGTTCTTCTGCACAACATCTGGATGCTGTACCTCCTCCTCCACATCTGTAACGCTGCCCACCGCAGCAGGGCAACCGTTCCCCAGGCCCCTGACAGCTGCTCCCGGCCCCATGCCCAAGGCGATGCCCGTGTGGCCAGGCCCCTTGACCAAGTGGCAGGCGGCCAGCGCAGGCTCCGGGTCCGTCCCAACCACCCCCGTGGCCCTGGGCTGCTCGGTACCCAGGGCAGCGACTCCGTTCTCCGGCGGGCCGGGGGACCGCTCGCTGCCGTAGCTCAGGCGCAGGGA